TAACCAGCTTTACCCCTTGCCGTGACATAGAGTTTTACACTCTTAGCCCACTCCAGGTAGTTCAGACCGTTTAAAGGGGTAATTGGCATGGGAAAAACCATGTTTTCACCTCCCATACCCGCTGTGCTGCGGGTTGGTGTAGCCCTCGATTAATTCATGACTTGCCATCGAATACTATTGAAAACCAGTCTAAATACCACCCAACAACACAGCCGCCACAATCAGAATGTGAGCAACTCAGGGTTTACTCCTAGAATGTGAGCAAAAGAACACTAAATACTGCTGAGAACAAGGGGTTCAGTCAACACAACGTCCAAACAGAACAATAAACCAGTTTGGTAATCAGTTCAGCACCACCACAATTGGTCTGACTGTAGTTCACACACTCTAACCATCCAACGTCTAAACAAATAACTATATAATCAAGGCATGAGCCCTACGCACCATCGGCCAAAGAAGGCTGAGACAAACTGAAACAAAAAACACACTTGTTCAGCATTTGTATGAAGGTGCTAATCTGAACTTGACTTCACAGCATCGAACAGAGGAGTCTGCACCAGCATCACCCTTCTCCAACTAGGGTTTTCTTGCTATTACGGCCAAGAAAAAGAAATCACAAAAGCTGCCGCCAGAAATTGCTAGGTTTCCCAAAAAAAAAACTGCCACCAGAAACCTGCTAAGGTTTCTGCAGAAACAGCCACGTCCAAACACTTTTTTAAGAATAGGGCAGGAGGGATAGTAGGTCTTTTTCAACCCAGAAAACCTGCTTTGATACCATGTGGTGATTCGTGGGGATTAGGAGAGAGAGAGAGAGAGAGAGAGAGAGGAAGAGAGAGGTATGGTTAAGAGGAAAAAGTCAGTACTGGCTGCCGCCAGTTTTCTATTTATATTAATTTCATAAAAGAATCAGCAATTACAAGTATGCCCCTGGCGGCATATCCTAGAATCAGAATAATAAGGAAAAAGAAAGAAGAACAATAACTGTAACTGTCTAACAGCCTACTAACAACAGCTATAAAATAAAAATTAAGTAAGCCTTACAACAATAGTTACATGAAAACTTGACCATAAATTTGTGAAGAGTCGTAATGCCATCACAGTCCCAGTCCTAGTTGTATGTTGTACATTTTTTGTGTTTTCTTCTTCTTTAGTCCTATAAGGGCTTTTATGTAAATGTGTACATATATATATTTGGACTCTTTGGGGTGTGGGGTCGGTTACACACTCTTGTACAAACTAGGCTGGTGACAAAATTATTACTACAATAAACCATATGTATGAGAGTATGTGCATGCATCCGTACATGCATGCATGTGAGAGATTGGATGCAAGGCCAAAAAAATCTACCAGATGTCCAAATTTTGCATATACCTTGCGAGGTCCAATTACTAGCTCATTATCTGCCATGTAAATAGCCTTGAAGCCCAGAGGATGTAACACCTCTTCGTAGCTGCAAGGATGCCAAGTATTAATCACTGTTCAAATCATAAAAGAAAAAAAAAAACAGATGCATTTTTTAAAAGGTAAATTGGAGATTAATAGACAATGAATTTATAAAGAACTAGGGAAAAAAAGGTAAACTGGAGAGTAACTCAGCCACTGAAACTTTATATGGAGGTCCACCAACATGATCACTAATCTGCCAACAAAGAAGTAGATTTTCATCATGACTACTTGAAACCAATGGCATGGGTAAATTGTTAAGATGGAAATGAGAAACTCAAAAATATTTTATACACACTATTGAGAGTTTAATATATAGAAACTTCAACCTAAAATCACTTGAAGGACATGACATTCCATTTTCAGTAAGGCAGTATGTAAAATCACATCAAGGCAGTCTCACTTGTTTTAAAGGAAACTTAACAAATTGAATGAAAAGAAAAAGGGAAAAGGACTATGATGTTCACCGGAAATATAATAGTTATGAGTTCTCCATCTGGTTTTAAGATATCTCGAACCTGACTTGCCCAAGCTGATCTCATAGATGGCTCAATTGCACAAAAGAACCTGCACTTTTCTTAGTATAAAGGCTAACATTACAAATATAAAATGCCTTAAGCATGTAAACGACCACAAATTCAAGGTAGAAACTTACGTATAATCAATAATGAGATCAAATAACTCAGTTGGATGCCAAGTGAAGAAGTCCTCCTTCAAAAAGGCGAAGTAATTTGCATTTGGTAATGAGGAATACAACTGGCTTGGCATTTTTTGTACAAATTGTTAGAGAAAGGTCACTCAAAAAGTAGTTAGCACTATAGTACCAACAGAAAAAAGTAGTAGTTAGTACCACAGATTAAGTTCTAGAATAGTTGTGGAGAATTTACTATGTATACTTCAATGTTTCGGGTAATCAGGAAAACACAACTACTCTTTTACTGACCGAAACTGTAGGTAATACATGCCAATTCATTAGTTTGTCTACTTAATTCTATGTATTGCGAGTATGGGCCGGCTGGTATCCTTATTGTTTTTAGTTGCAGTTACATTCTATTTTAGGATTAGATATCAGATATTAATTGTATTATTGTTGCTTCTTTAATTTAAAAGTTGCTATTTGAGATTTATTTGTAAGAACTAAGGCTTCAGGTACTTGAAAGGTCTTTGTCTTTTTAGTTTAAAAGTGCATAGACCATTACTAGTGTACAATAATAAAAGGTAACATAGAAGTTGATAAACCATTACAAAGGTGTAAAACACTTGAAAATCTACATTTCTACAAAAAAAAAACACTAACAAAAATGCATATTTTAAATAGGCATGTGCCTGAGCACAAGGCACACCAAGCACACACCTTTTGAAAGGAGCTGCACTTGGGTTCAAGTGAGATGTATGCCTTAAAATGCACTTCATCTATGTGCCTAATTGCGCCTGAGGTGTACCTTTTTAAAACACTGTATCAAAGCAGGTTTCTATTGTTGTTAGTTCTTTCAATCTCTCTTACTTATTGTCCAATCCATTCTCTCCTCTACTTGGGAAATATCCAAGGACTGATACCCAGTAACCTCTTCTCTTTTTTCCATAATGTTTTTCCTTTTTTTGCGAGTTATCTGATGGAAATGTGATGTGGTTC